GTTGGTCCTTATTCCTGATCCATACCTACATATGGTGATAGATTCACCATACCTACATATGGTGAACTCTTCTACCATTTACATATCAGGAATAAAATACCCACAGAAGGTTATGGATACACTTAAAGCCCAGACTTCTTTGCCACTCTACAATGCATCCATGTAACAAAAAACTATATGTACTCCCTACAGCTACTGAAATAAAAAGGATACATGGAGAGGTATTTGACCCATTCATACGCCTTAGAGGCGGGAAAGCTATTATCTTTGTAGAAACTCTCATAGGGGTTGGGAATGTGAGTGTTGGTCCTTATTCCTGATCCATACCTACATATGTTGATAGAATCAAGGACTAGGTAGGTGGCACTGAAGCGTGATACATGTGATTCAAGAGGTATAAAATCAACAATACTGTGGTAGTGTGTATTTGTAGGGGATAATCTTTTTTACACATTGATAAAGACACCACACTGTGTTCCAATGACTGTTTTGCAGATGGAGTGTCATCATATTTGATTTTTCCTATGATAAGTTTATTTTCAAAAAGAACATGCCCTGAGCAATCACTTTCAGCTTGAATCTTTTCCCCATTGCTTAAGGCAATAGTGAACGTCACTTAGGGTAACTGAGTGTAATTGCAGCAACCAATGAAGAACTACAGAGGATGAAATTGGGGGGAAAAAAAGATTAGGATTGCATATTCCCAAGGGAACAACTCTGAACCCCTCAGGCAGCTGTGAAGTACTGCATTGGTAACAAATAAACAAGGTAATTTTGGGCAAGCAAGTCTTCCTGAAAAGATATGGGTCATAGTTTTAACTACTGAGTCATCATGCCTTTGAAGTTGTAAGGCAATGCCCTTTCCTAAAAATAAATAAATCAAAATAAACAATAATCTATATGATTTAAGTGTCCCTTGTGAGATTATATCAGAAGACTTTTGACAAAATGGAAAATGTGGAGAGCCTCTGAGTGCATCTTTTTTGGTCATCTTGGCAGGCAGGGAAAAAAAAAATCACAGAAGTTCAGATACTTACCATTTTTGGCTGGAAAGCTGCAGTGCTTTTCCCCTTGGGAGTTCCACCTCTCAGTGGTTTCTCCTTCTATAGATAAGACATTCTCTGCTTTGGGAGATGGTTAATCATTGTCTGATTAAGCTCCCAAAATGAAATTTCTGACTATTCCCACTGTTCATCCTTCCCTTGCTATCCTTGTAGGTTTAATACTATCGGGACTGCCCAACATTTGAAATGTGCTGGGTGATGGGAAGACAATGATATGACTAGAAGTGATAAGTACATAATGATCTTAAAAAAGAAGAGCAGAAATGTAATCTATTAACAAAAATCTGTAAGTAGATCTGAACAAAATCTAAGGAATCCACTTATAAGACCATGTTTCTTTCTCTGTAAGATAAATAGGATTTTGTGTGTCTCTTCTGCATAATGCACACACCTATTTATCCATTAAAGTTCATATTTATCTTTGTTCAGTTTTGCCAGTAGCTGGAATGCGTTGGCCAAGTGAAATGGTTAGTTAATATAACACAAGCTGAATGCCAGTTGTAGATCAAGGTGAGATTCAGTATTATACATTGTCCATGGTAAAATGGCCAAATATTCTTGAAGTTAGGATTCTGTACTCAGTACGTGCTTTGGATGCAACTGCCCAAAATCAGAGACAAAAGATCAGAATCAAAAGACTGACTCCACATCTCGAGCCCAGAAACACTGAAAGAAGTCTTAAAAGGGCCGATTTACATTCTTGAGAAGGTGAAGTTTTGTCCCTTCTAGAGACTGGAGGGCTTCATCATCTACCAGATAAAATTTTCTGATTGTTTCCACAAACTTATCAGAGGTTTGTTCATCTCATTTTGACAGGCTGGATTCAGGGGCTTTGCCCTATGGAATTACCAATGAATCAAGCCCCCTTTGGTAAAGGCAGTGTGGGTAGTGAGTTTTCATTGGTAGGAGGGTGCTTTTGGGGAATGGCACTACATCAGGGATTCCCATATTGGATGAGAGTCACCTATTGGGATCTCTTAGGACAAAAATTTTTGTAATTAAATTTCATATCTGAAAGTCAACAAAAACAAATTAGTACAATTACGCTGTGAACCAAAGACAGCAAGGTTCTATCAAATCTTCAGTGGTAAGGATGGAATCAGAAAATTTGAGCAAATTATTATTAGTTTATAAGAAGTTGAGAATCACTAGGTCACAGAATGTTGTTACTGAAGGGTTGTTAAATGGTCAAGGACACTCTGGTCATTGAATTACTCTTTTTTGCTGGTTAAAGAAGTAGATGTTAGCTGCTCATTTTGTGTTAAATCAAAGGTTGGTACTCAGGAGATGTATCGATTGTCTGATACAAGAAAATATTTAATTATACCTTATTTCCTTCACACATGAAAGTGTGCCACATGTGACCATAAAATAATATAATGAGAAATTCTAAAGAAAATTTTAAAGATGATCAGATGAATAAAGTATCATTTACCTGCACATAGGGGTCAGATTCTATCCATTTTAGTAAAACTAAATCCACTGATATTAATGTAAACTTGCAAATAAATACTCAAACTTTAGAGGTCACTTTTCCCCACAAATACTTATTCCATTTCTGATATATATTCTTCTTCTTATATATTTTGATGCCCTCTTCTTATATATTTTGATGGTCAATAACTCATATAATTAGACAGAAATTGTTCATGCAAGGCAGAATTTCTACTGGGAGCCAAGAGGAATACAGTGAATGGTACTAAAAGAGCAATTTACTTAAGCATCCCTTGGGAAGCAACTATGTTGCTGATGATTAGTTTTATTGGAATTGACTGATTTCCTACAACACTCTGACTTGGAACTGTTTTATGGGTTCATGTAATTTGGTGCAGGAAAGAATGTAGGTAGAGTTGTACTGAACAATGCAAAAAAAAAAAAGTAATGAAGTAGAGGAATGTCCAACATTTATCTCAGTTCTGTAGAACAGACAAATATTCTGACATTGTGTTCTCTTGGGACATTAAAAAGAGAACATTGCATGACCAAGGGTTGACATTTGCAAAAGTTTGAATACTGAGTGTTTGCTTTCTTTCTTTTGGATGAGGATACCAATTGCACAATGATACCTTTTTGGTCTTTATTTCTTCAAAACATGAAAACAAAAAATGAAGTAGATGACAATGAGAAGAGAGAAAACATTCCATACAGAATATGCTGTATCACTAGTGATTAAATAAGAAACAATTAAAAACTTTATTTGTCTGTGCCAATAATGTGTACCATTTATAAGGAACAGCACTTCCCCCCTAAAGCTGTGCACAATACACACAAAATAAAATAAACAAAATGAAATAATTTTACACAACTATAATAATTAATAACAACCCTGAACAACCAGAATCATATTTTCCTATAGCAAAAATTTAAAAAGCAAACAAACCAAAAAGCCTTGAAATTGAAATTGACCAACAGCAAGAATTTCTTAAAGTCTTCTGTGAAAATTTGCTATGGGATTACTGACATTTCTAATATGGCTAAAAAATGAGTGCAAAGTTTTTCTAATGTTTAAACAACTTACATTCCTGGACTAGATTTACTTGGTGTTTCTAGGCTAGCTTTCCATTTAGTAAATCCTCAAAAATAAAATAAAATAAGAGGATGAGTTAGAACGTGCCCCAAAGGAATTAGGTCACCAGCATTGGGCGATGACAGGTCAGTGGTGGGTCTCCAGAAGAGATAAGGAATAGTAAAGTTTATAGAAAAGTACTGTTGTCAACAAAGATAAAAACTGGGGTTAACTAGGTCTTCTCAGTGATCTGAATCACCAGCAGAATGACCTTTCTTGGTTTAAAATGGGGAGATGTACATAGCTGCAAGTTGATCAAGGATAAAGAGGGTGTTTTTCTAAACCTGTGCTTTGTACTGTCTTAGCTAAAGAAAATCTTGTATATTTGAAAAATTGTATTTGAACAGATTCAGTGTGTTCATGTTAAAAGAGCTTCATAATTTGTTTTTCCTTGCAAGATAAAACTGTTTCCATATGGCTATCTTAACTTTTACTCACAAAAATAGCAGTCACATTCATTATAACCTCTCTGAGGGCAAGGATGTGGGCAGTCTTTTTCGTGGTTTAGTCCTTAGGAAGTATCATGCTACCTGGCTTATTGGATGGTAACGAGCATTTAATTATTCATTCAGTCATCAAACATCTGATAAATGATGAATGATCATGATGACTATGTGGGAGAATAGAAAATAAGTCTCAACAACTTTAATTTCTTAAGTATCTTTGAATCAATACAGAGAGTAGGGCTGTCTCCAGCCTTGAATTCCTTATAGATAGAGAAGTCTCTGAGGGGTGACCAAAGTCATTTTCTTTTTTTTTCTCAGTAGCGGACTCACTATGTGAAGGTTAGACTTATCCACATTTTTTGTTATTTTGAAAGAAAAAGGAGTCATTCCTTTCAAAGGGTTAAAAATCACTGGTACAACCCTCCTGGGAGACACTATTTTCATGTAATTTACTTTTTTGTCATAAGTAGAGAAGACACACTTGCAAAGGTCCATTGGGCACCCTGGTTTCTTTCCTATTCAGGAACTACTGATAGGATCAGAGGGGTTTAGACTGAATAGTGAAAGAAACAGGGCTCAAAATAGCCTTTTACATTAAAAAGAAAAAGAAAAAGAAAAACCAGCACTATCTATCATCTGTGCCAGACAGAGCAGATGTGAAATAAATACTTTGGTGGGGAGGGGTGTTGTGGAAACAGGGCGGCTCTGAAAGCCCGGGCTCATCTAATGCATCCACTACCCTATAAGGCCTTTGTCCTTGACCTTCCTGAAGTCAGAGGTGATTCTTAGAGGCCTCTGATGTGTTCCACATGGCTAATTTTCCATGAAGATCTTTGTAGTTTGCTTGCTGTCCTCTCAATAACTTTAACTTCTCCCCCACAGGACAGTTATTGCTTCTTAGAAATGAATGCGCAGATCCATGAATGATAAGCCATTTTCTCCTTTTATCCCTAGTGGTAATTAAACTCAATAACAACACAAAAGTAACAGCTCAGGTGAAACAAAACTCACTTATGTCTTCAATGTCCAATCAACGCTGCTGAATGGGAGAACAGTATATACTACACTCTACTATATACAGATACGCTTTGTTTTGTTTTATTTGTTTTTCATCCATGCACTGTGTAACAGGTATCACAACAACATTTCCAAACAGGCACATGAAGAATGAGCAAATATTCAGTCATGACTGGAACAGGATTGTGCAAGCCATGGATGTCTTTGAAAATAAAACTGACGGACAATCCCAGGCAACGGCAACATGGGGCTGGGACACATATGAATGCAAATGGAAAAGGACGATGTGCTTTTTGAATGGGGTTATTCTTCCTGTTTGCATGAGGGATGGCAGGTGGATAGGGGAAAAGAGTTGTGATGGGGACACGTTGGGGTTTAGCTGGGCTGGAACACTGGAAGAAGGGCCTTACTCATCTTAGTCCAGAGCTACAGAGATAAGAAATAAAGAATCTTGCATGTTCTTGGGGATCTAGGCACATTATCCCTGTACCTGTTGAACAAGAGTGCCAGGCATCATGTCCTTCAATCTCAGACTCTATCTAGAACCATCACACTTCCTGGCTCCTTTCCAGCTCCCATGCTTCTTCTTGGAGGCAGCTTCACCTCTGCTCATGTTCCGGAGATTAGCATGAACTTTGGAAATAGAGTGAAGATATGCTTCTTTCTTCTTCCACACCCAGATTCTTTCTTAAATACCCAAAATAACCTTTTAAAGTGTTTGGGGGGAGGTGGAGGGATCTTAATAATTTAATTTTTTACCAAAAGCCCACATATGATTGGATGGTTCATCACCTCCCACAGAGAGAAGCAACCACGCTGACCCTCCCAACAAAAAACAAAAAATAAAAACCAAACATCAACTGCCTCCCCAACGCCACTGGAAACAAAATCAAAAACAAGAAAACATATCAAAACCTTCACGGTTTATGGACCTGGAGAGAGAGTGTGGCCCTTCCAGGCCGAGCTGCAAAGATGGCCCTGCCTCCGTGCCTTGTTCAACATGATGATGCCCCTGGGAATGGGAGGTGATGGTTTCTTACTTCGGCCCTAGTACAGAGTATGCTCTTGAAGCTGGATTCCATCAGCAGGTAAGTGAACATGACAGATGTCAGTTTCCTCTGTTCGTTATACATAATTTTTATGTATATATATATATATATGTATATATATATATAAATTTACTATATCTGACTGTTCCTTTAGAAGCCTTTTATGTGGCAGTAGGCCTCCAGGGAGGAGAAGAAAATGTACAACAGCCACAGGAGCACAAAGAGGCAGGATGTGAGGAGCTTGGCAGTCCGGGGCCCACCCAGCTCACCTCCGATTTCTGGCCTCCGCCGATACAGCAGCACCCCCACATTGATGAAAGCAAAAATGGTGAAGAGAGTGACAGAGAAAGCTAGCGTGCCAGGGGACACTTTGAACTCTTCCCCATTGGCCGCGTGGTAGATGGCGGCGATGGACCAGGCCACGCCGATTCCCAGGAAGACGTTCACCGCGTTGCTGCCCGTGACGTTACCTATGGAAGCATCTGCATACTGGTCCTGGGTGGCTGCCACTTTGCTGGCAAATGTGTCTGCAGAGGAAGCATAAAAAGTCAATGACACTCAATCAACCTTTCAAAGATATCTGTGGAGAGCCGGAAGGTTCAGCTGTGTACTCTAGAATCAAACCCTGGATATAAACCCAGAGACTTAGAGCGGGCAATAACTGTTGTGTTGAGTTAGAGTCGTGTGGTTGAAGGAAAAGGACCTAGGAACTGGGAGTCCAGTGCTGGCCCTGTTATGAACTGAGAAAGTGATCTTGGTCAGGTTCTTTGTCCACAGATACCAGTTCTTTTGTCCTGTTGAGCCTGCAGGGAAGCATTTTTTCAGAGAATGCTCATAGCTCACCTACCTCAGTATCAAGTGGGGATCTTTTCAGGAGTGAATATTACAAGGCTCCATCCAGCTGTGCTGGGTCATAATGACAGGGGCCTGGGAATCTATTTTTAACAATAACCCAAAAGATTCTAGGTCACTAAAAAATGGCTGCTGGAGGGTGTTACTAGAAGATGCTATATCAGTAGCTCTAGTTTATAGATGCCAAAGTTAAGGTGTCAGGAGAGATTTCTAAAGAATCAAGAGCAAGTCGACAGTGGAATTGAAAAGAACTGAATTATGATAATTGCTATGCTTGCCTAGAGTCTTACAAATGGGAAAGAAGATTTGCCTATATTATTGCATTGACAGATAGGAGGATACTATGAGGTGAGGAGACCACGTTTAAAGACGATAAGCAGTTGGTTAAGTTGAAATATTACATGTAAAATGCTTTATATGCTTTTGGGCACAGCGTAAGAAAGGCTCTTTTTGTTGTTTTGGAAAGACAATATAAGTAGAGCAGATTATGTCAGTGTAAAAGTTGTAGTGGAATCTGAAATAGCTTCCTTTATTAAGTATGTAAACAGAACTTGCAAGATATGAAATTTCTGGTCTAGTTACTGACATCAAAGTCCTTTCAGCTACCTTGGCAGAATACCTCGCACAATATCTTCCTAGTAGATATTCATAGCTGTCAAACTGAGCTCACATTTGCAAAGCCAGTAAGAACAAGTATTATATGACTACAAGGTGCTGTGTCACCTGCTCTGGTCCTCCTGAGGTCCCTGGTGTGCCCTGAGCATTCACGTTGTTGTATGATACCTGGATTAGTTTTTCCCCTCTGTTGCTACTCTATTGCCTTCACCCTTCCTCAGCAAATCTCCAATGGGGATGATACATAACACATGTAAGTTTATATCAGCTTGTAGGTTCTCCTGCTTTGCGATGGCTAAGAAGGTTGTTTAGGCTGCTGAGAGGCTGTGGCATCACATTCTTTCTGAAAGGGTTAACCCTTAGGACCTATCTTGTTGATTCTGATCTCTATCTGTGATGGGAAGCGGGTCTGACTTCTATTTTATAATTAAAGAAATAAACACTGCTTATCCCATAGCAGGCATGATGCTACACAGGTTACGTGTATATTTTCACTCAAATTTCTCACAAACCTGATGGACTAGATGTTCTTGTTCCTGTGTTATAATATGGGAAACTCTGACATTGTGATATTATGCCTTTAGGACAGGGTCTTAGCCAGAATGAGAATTTTCAAATCAAGTGTGATTTCAGAGCCCACTCTCAGTCCCTCCCACCACACTATCCCTCCCAGGAAGGCTCAAGTTTTCCTTCCTTCTTAGTTCAATTGGCCCTGTCCTTCCACTCAGAAACTCTGAAGCAGTCTCACTGAATGTGCTTTCCCATATCAGGAGAACAAAGAGTGAAGAAGGCATGCGTCATGTGCAAATACCCCCTAAAAGCAAAGCAAGATGAATCTTAATGGTCCCCCGTGCTTCATTGCTGAGTTAGTAAGAGCTGCTACTGCAGAAACCGAAAAAAAAAAGTCATTTTTTGTTTCTTTTTCAAGGGCAGGCAGCAGAGCAAGGAAAGTAAAGGAACAAGACTCCTGATACAGGAGAGAGCAGCTTCCAGCTCAGCTGCAGCCAGAGAACACCTGAGATGTGATTCAGAGCTAAGATGGCTGCGAGCACCAGCTGGTGGTGAACAGATGGCCGTGTAAGGTGGGGCAATCAGGGGAGGGGGTATTCCCTCCTTATGCTTCAGGGGCAGGTAAGCTGGTGCTGTTCCAGAGCACACACCTGCTTACCTCCCCTGGCACACTGGACTTCCCGGGTACCCTGCAGGGCACACTGGACTTCCTGGGTACCCCGTATCCACTCAGAAACCCTGGACCTTCTGGATGGCAGCTCTGCAACTGCACCAGACAAGAAGGAAGTAGGAAGTCAATTCCTGGGTCCGGAAACCCTGAACACCCAGGCCCGTTCTTTAGGCTGAGTTGGCAGTCATACCTGGGTCTGTAGTCATATCCTCTCCCTAACACCACATTACCCTATTGATGTGAATACTGCATGAAAATTCTCACTTGTAATAATAGGATCCTGTTTTCAAATGTCCCTCTCTGGATTCCCTAGAAAGTAGTAGTAGCCAAAGTGACTAGCTTGTCACATAGATGATACATGTTTTGGGCCTCTCTGAGTCTGGCAGGTTTTATTTACCTGGGGTAAAAATGTTAGGCCATTTGTCTATTTTTATTTTCAATTCAAAAGCTATGTTAAAAAGATATTGTAGGAGCACATGAAGATTGAAACCATTAACCTTAGCTCCAACAGAGATAACTCTGTTTTCCAAACGAAGTACAATGGATTCTCCCCAAGTTACCTTTTACTGCTACTCAGCTATCTAGTGCATAGAGTGACACATCACATACCATATGTTAGGCACTGCCAAGACCTATGCCAAGCCCCATGACAAGCCCCAAGCCTGTAACCCACCAGTGGTTGAACAAAGCAAATGTCATTTGCTAAAGCAAAATCCAAGAAATAACTGGTGCTTTGGTCTCAGAGGAAAGAAATCATATTTAGAGTGTGGTCCATTAAATGCAAACATATATGAATCAGATTTCCAACGTGATTGGCAGTAATTAAAATATGGTGACAATAACATTCATGTTTTCTCCATATATACCCCAGGGTAGGTTTTTAATAGGATTTTTTGCTATTAACTCCATATTGAATTCTAATACATTTTAGATCAGTCGTACAGTTTTAGATTTTTGGTCCTGTCTCCTTGGTACATAAGACTGTAAGTCAATATGAAGGAAGATTTGTTTGGGAGGAACTGACTCCTGCAGCGTGGCTGGAATTAAACTACACATCACAAAATTGTTCTTTGCAGTCCTGCCCTCAGTTGTACTGTATATAACCTTGGCTAAGTCATCTATCTGGGCAATACGCAGTACTAGGCTACCACCTTCCCTTTCCTCCAGAAATTGTTTTTAACTGAATTTCTCAAACTTCATAACTAGCTAGAGACTAAGTGTTAAACATCTCTTCTGTGAAAGGGTCATTCTTACAGTCTTGCGGGTCAAAGGGTTTGTGTATTATCTAAAACAAGGGTTTCACCCTAGATGGCTCATCTTATTCTTGACTGGTAGTATGCTTTGTGGGCCAGTGGCTCAATTCTCAAGTGGTTTGTGCCCAGGAACTAATAGTAGCAGTGGTTTTAACTGGATTCTATCCTGGTTATAAAGGCGTGGTTGCACATGTGAATTACTGACCACAAAACAGGCAGTCCAGGTACCAGAGAGTTACCTGGAGACACTATTAGCTCTTCCAACTATATGTATGTTCTTGGGCAAGTCATTTTACATTTTTAGTTTCTAGTTTCCTCATTAAAAAAGAATAATTTATACCAGAATATCCCGAAGATTCTCTGACTTTACAGTTTGGGTGGTGGAGGTTCAAGTTGCAATGAGTTGTGATCATGCTACTGCACTCTAGCCTGGACAACAGAGTGAGACACTATTTCAAAAAAAAAAAGAATTGACTAATGATAATATTTTCTCATTTTAAAGAATAAATGACCTAAATGAAATATCTGAAGCTCCTAGGAAGAAAGATCTCAAGACCTGAACATATTGTCACTGATCAAACAGTGGCGATATTTATGAAATTAAACTACACAGCTCAGGCATTGACCTTTTAAAACTAGGTAAGAAATGTTGCCAAAATTTTAACTTTATTTTATTTATTTATTTATTTTTTTTGAGTTGGAGTCTCACTCTGTCACCCAGGCTGGAGTGCAGTGGCCGCTCCCGGCCACCGCAGCCTCTACCTGCTGAGCTCCGGCGATCCTTCTGCCTCAGCCTTCCAAGTAGCTGGAACTACAGGCGTGCGCTACCACTCCTGGCTTATTTTTGATTTATTGTAGAGATGAGGTCTCGCCAAGTTGCCTGAGTGGGTCTCGAAGCCACGGGCTCAGGCAATCCACTCACCTCAGCCTCCCAAAGTGCGGGATTACAGGTTGAGCCACCGAGCCCAGCCAAAATTTTAACTTTAAATCACTCTGACAGTCGTCCATTCATGTGAGTGAAGCCACGGTATAATGGTCCTGTCCTGCAGAGATGACAGTGTTTCAAAGGCTGTGTATAATGCAATAAAGTTAAGATACCACTAGTATCAGAACTATCTGGAGAACTTTGTTTAAAAAATGCAAATTTGGCAACCCCTTTGGGTCCCCTTCCACTGTGGGAGCTTTTCTGTCCTCTTAATAAATCCTGCTTTCTCAAAAAAAAAAAAAAAGTAGATTTGAGGACTTACCCTAGATTCAGGCTCTCTGAGAAAGGAATATGGGAATATACATTTTAATGAGCGACCTAGGTTATTCTTATTTACACCAAGGTTTGAGAACCACAGCTCTAAGACATGCAACTCCCGCTTGGTCACAATTTGGGAGTTTTCCTGGGAGTGACAGATGTTTGAGTTTCAGGGAGGCAACTAAAGGGAAGAAGTAAGAAGCAGCTGTTTTCTCTTAAAAACATGCCCTTGGATATAGTGGTCATTTTGCACATAAAGCAACGTGGTTGGGCTTGGAAAGATGCTGGACTGCTCAACTGTAGCTCCTTCTACTCTCAAGTTAAAACCCTTCCCAGTCCAGCTATCCTAAAAGGCCAAGGATGGGGTGAAATCTACCTAAATTT